TGTGGCTTCCAAATGACTCAATAAATATCCAATACTTCCTCAGAGACAGCCTTGACCCCGTTGTGTAAAAGTGTGCTTCTCGCTGGCATTGGTTCCCCCAAGAAGACTAAATGCTGAAAGCAGCTTCGCAAAGTGGCAATTACTGCTCTGACATCCATTCAGATGCACATAAAAACAAAACAAAAGTACAGTGTTTTGAAATGGCAAAAGGCACAATTAGAGGGACAAATAAACTGAGCTGCTAAGAGTGAAAAATAAAAGCTCCCACAGCATAATAATTCAGCTTTAATTAAAGGAGCGGCCCATGCAAATGGGTCATTTAATACAATGGACCGATCCCCTCACCTCCGTAGTTAAAAGCAGAAGGCTGAGAGCTGGAAGTCTTTAGACTGACCTCCAAAGCTTCTCTTCCCCCTCCTCATCTATATTTATATGAAGGAGCGGCACTAATTTTGCTCAGTAAATCAGTGGGCACATTTCGTTCTGACCTCCAGCTCAACACTGAATTAAACAATATCAGGGCCCTGAGAAGCCCGCTCTTTAACAAGCCTTAAATTCCTTCGTCCAATCCATCAGCGGGGATATTTCTGACACACGCAGGGAAGAGCATGAAATAAGGCAATTATTGAACCCTTCAGCCCATTTTTACGGCTTGGCTGGCTGGCTGCAGCACAGAGATACACAGATTTCTTTACTCCCCAGATGAATCCATGTGATAGAAATGCTAAAAATGAATACCTTGCAAACAAAAATACACTCCGAGTTATTATCCTGTTAACGCACATTAATTCTGACTGTATGGAAAACAAAGATGTGCAGCAGGAGAATCACCAGAGGGCCTCTTTGGAGTCTCCTTGACTTTGTTCAGTAAAACAACTCAAGCTCCTGCAGTTTGAGAGTTCCAGTTTGAAACAAACTCACTTCTCTCCCAGTGCTCCTCTCTGGTGGGGCTCCGTCTGTGTGTGTCTCTCATGGAGGTGGCAGTCGATCCTGTGAGCCTGGGCGTCCTCTCAGATTGCCTGACAGATAATCCATCACACAGTCAGTGTGTCTGACAGGAAGAGGTCTCAGTCAACTCTCTGTCTCACATGCGCCCTATAAAGGACAGTCGCCTCACTTCAACTCTCCCTTGGGACGACATACACTCAGGCTTCATTAGAGGGGAATGAAGGAAGGGTGATCTTGGGAGATTAAAGTGTGTTTGTGAACTCCAAACTGGAGTAAAAAGCAAAAGAGAAAACCCAGAGACAGGATTGTGGAGGTAAATAGAGAAACCAAAAGCTTGAATCTAGCTTTAATTGTTAAGACTGGATTTTATGTGTCAGAACAAGAAAAAGGGAGAGCTGAAGTAAACTGATAAATACATCTGAACCATGTCAGACAAGCAGCCAATGAACGCATGAATGAAACGTGCCATGCAACAGGTGGGAAAATCTGCCAGGACAGGCGTCAGTCATGCCCTCTACATATCAGGTATTTATGGAAAGACTAAAACTAATCTAAAAATAAATCCACAAAACTCTGTGTGTCGAAGTTATGTAACTGAAAAAAAAAATTAATTCTTCAGCTATCCCCACAAAAACACGGTAGAGGCAACATGTTGCTGCGGAGAGGCCTTTGTTCAGGAACAGTGGTGGCATTGGTTAGAGCTTTTAGAAAGACAAAAGGCAAAAAAAAAGAAAAAAAAAAAGCCAATAATAAATATTGATTCAATTATTGACTTCATTTTGACCCAAATTAAAAAATGATAATTTTAAGAATTAAGTTTGTTAAAATGCAGTGTTAGCCCTGTTTTGATCTTTTTTTGGGGATTATCTAAAAATACCAACAGCAAACAAATTGAAAAATGGACGAAATGGGAAAAGTTTTAGGACTTTTCACATTTCATACACAAAGGGCCATTTGACCTGAGTTCGGCAAAGAGCAGCAAAATATTACACGACTTTTAGTGAAACAACCTTTTACTTTTGTTAAATATCTGCCATAGGGAAATGTTTTGCCATATTGCCCAACAGTTTTTTTTAAAATATTTTTTTGCTTTTAAGATAATAAAACACATCTAATTTAGTTAGTTTCCGTAGTTTATATGTCATAATGTAAATTATCTAAGCGTGCTGTAGATAAATAAGCAATCTTCATTGTAACCTTGAATTATACTCTCCATGAGAAGAGTTATATCATTTGGTCTTTCATAGACATTTCTCCAAAGATCATAACTAAAGAATTGTTTCAAGGTTTTCTGTTTCCCAGAGATGAACGTATATTGACTTTTAGAGTATCATCCTCCACAAAAAAATGGGTCCTACAACAATACTAAAAGGTCACTCAGAAAGGAAGGAGCCATTACTTAAAGGCAGCTTTTAAAAGTTACATTACAATTTGCCATTGTACTTGGAGACAAAAACTGGAACTTAGGGAATATTCTGTGGTGTTATTAAATAAAAACCTTAGTTACTACGCACAGTTTCCAGTTAGACAATGATTCTAAGAATATATGTCTAACTCAGCGAAAGTCTCGGATTTATCCTCCATCGAATGTGTGGACAGAGCTGAATCGGTTATACCAGTTCAGATGGGCAAAAATAATGTTAATTCTTGTGATGTTATCTTGTAGTGAGTTTAAATTAGTGTTGTTTTTGACAGCAACCTCAGAATTAGTCTTAGTCTTCAGGACGAAAAGTATTATTAGTGTTAATCACATTTTAGTCAACTCAAAAATGTTTTAGTCTAGTTTTAGACAGTTTTTATGTTGCACTTTAAAAAAACGGTTAACTTTTACTGTTTTAACAACCAGATTCTTTACCAGACTGACAGCTCCTGCCTAGATACTACAATAGCTGGATATAGAAAGTTGCCGTGCATTCATCATCATTCATCATTGCTGTTGGGCAGAAAACTTGCAATTAGAATGCAATTAAATATTTGCTTTGGATATAAATTAGGGATTCCTTTGGGTAGAAATTAAAGAATGTTTAGTATCACCTCTTGTGAGCTGAAAGAAATAAAATCTTTATACTTAGACAAAGGATTTTTTACACTTGACAGATGATCAGCCACATATGGTAGCGAGGGCAGGAAGAGCCATACTTCTGAGAGCGAACCATCAGTTTGGAGCATAAAGTGCAGACTCTGAGCTACATGCATGCAAAGATTTCTGCACAATCACAACTGGAAGAGCAGAGTTTGTCAGAGTTCAGCACGCAAAAACAAACCATTCTGGGTTATTTTCATTCCTGCCACTGCTGCCATGGTACATCTGTGGTTATGAAGAATGTGCAGCGCTGCACGCCAGGTGGGCTGTGTGACCAAACAAGGCGCAGCAGCCCAGCTGATACTGCTTAGCTTGTCTAACAGATTGATGCATTTTAAACATTTGACAGACCACCTGCTCATTTTTATTTAGTCTTGTTGACAATTCAAACCCATGAGTCGTCATGTTTGCATCATCAAAGATCCATGTTTTTTTGTCAGCTTTCGTTGCGTAAAAAAGGAGCCTCAATAAAATATTTTCGTCATGGTCGACGAAAGCAACAGTGGTTTAAATACTGGCTATGAAGAGTGTGTTGTTTAGATAAAAGCTTAAACTATATTGATTGTACAAGTTCGGGTTGATACACTAACTCAATAAAGCTCAGGCACATTTCATTAACATCCACAACGCTAAAGGACTAACTAGCCCCTTCATGCTGAAAATGTTTTGAATATTTTGCTGCTTTGCAGGCACACTGACTCACCTACTGACCTTCCAGACATGCTATTGGATGCCTGGGTGAAAAATGTCTGAAAATCTGGTGCAAACGCTGTAGAAATCCGTGTTCTTGTATGAAGGGTCTTTGGAACATTTCACAAAACAGTCCAGGATGAGAAGGAAATGCAAACTACTGTAAAATAATGCTCAAAGTCATAAGCTTTGGAATAATTTATTTCTAGAAATGGTAGGAGAATGCATTTCTAACTAAATTCAGACGTTTTAAACCAAAGATTAACTTAGAGCATTTATCTAAAGACATATTTAAAAACAAAACTTTAGGCAAAAACATGCTGCAAAACACACCCAGATGGATAGCACTAAAGCAGCCCAAATTACACTGGTGGCCACACTAACTAATGATTTTTGTAAAACGGTCTTGAAATATAATCTTTCCAAAACAAACTATAATCTCAGCTATTTTGGGGAAAAATACAACCTTTAATTAAAAATTTTGTTTTTACAGAGTAAATAAATCCATTAATAACGGCAAACATTATCTAAATAAAAATATGAGCATCTTATTTATTGTCACATTTTGGGTGATCAGGCAGCACACAATCTTTTCTTGTAATGTTTCCCAGGGTTCCCCTCAGAGTTAGGCTTTGCTCATATAGATCATCAAGCGTTTTTCTCGCCTCTATTCAGCTCATCTCAGATTCTCTCTAAAATTGGAGTCTAAAGAGCGAGATTATCTTGGGATATTAATATAAGCTTTAAACATGTTTTTATTTAAAATCATAGGCTTTAATTAAAAGTTCATGATGCCATTCGGACAACTCAGTCTGATGGGCAGAAAAAGGCCCACAGCATCACTCATCCGTCAGTCTTCACAGTGTGGTATTTTTTTCCACAGTCCTTTCGATGTAACTTTACAACAGTGGAATATGTAAAACATTTAGGAAACCTCAGTAAAAGAACCACCGTAGTGCTTGCTGTAGAAACTCAAACTTACTCTCCTGAAAGAGGCAAATAGGTTATACTTTGTTAATTTGTCCCTTTTAAATAACTATTTTCTACAATGGGTTATGTTTAGTCTGCTGCATTCAGAGCTGTGAATTCACTAGCTGCATGTGTCAAAAAAATAGAAAGCTCAAGGATAAAGTTAACAAATACTGCAGCTCTTTACTCAAACAGACAATTCAACCAGAATCTGCAAACGTTTTTTTTTTTTTTTTTAGGTAAAAATAGTACAGTCGGTAACAAACTTTCCAAAGTTGACCCTTGAGAGAGGTGGACAAAAACACACAAATGATCTTGAAATATCTGTTTTTAATCTCTTAGATTATGTACACATCGTTCATCTTTAATCAATCAATAATACATTCAACATTTGTATAAAGTATATTTCATCCATTCAACTTTTCACTAAGAATCTGAAAGAAATGAAAAACCAGTCATGAAAACATCCAAACCCCTAAAACCTTCAATCTTCAGGCACAGATATAATGGAATTAGCACTTTAAACAGAAGATATGGTGTAGAAACTCAGATGAGAAACACAAGAGGCACTGTAACCTCCCTGGGCCTCAAAGTAAACGGTTTGCACCACATTTCTGCCTCCTTGAGTTTTAGTTACACTGGAAGAGTTCACACTTTTTCTATCAACCATACTGTGCTTATAAAGTACAAAAAATGCCTTAGTTTCCCTATAAATCAACACAAACAACAAATTATTCAAGAAGATAAATGTGTTTAGTGGAAAATGGAATGCAATGGAACCAAAGTGATAAACTTCAACCCATTTTCTGCAGGAGGTTCTGAAGAATCAAATGCTTTTAAAATATCCCTAGAAAAGTGTGAACTTTTTTCCCAATTAATATAAAACGAGAATAATTGTTAAAGTAATTAAAAGCTGATAACTTTCACGGCTCAGGAGAAAAAAAAAACTAGCGTGAACATAACACACCTCAGAAACTCTGGATTTAGAAAAAGTGAGGGGAAAAAAAAAACGTGGAGTTCAGGAGGTCTGATAGAAAAGGCTGCTGTTGGTGATGGAATCCATGGAGGACGGAAGTGTAGAAACCTCCCAAACAGCTCTCTACTTCCTTATGGCGGCCACTGCCTTCTTGGCGGCGTCGTCCAGGTCGTCGGCTGATGTGATGGGCAGGCCGCTCTCGTTCAGGATCCTCTTAGCTTCGTGCACGTTGGTCCCTTAGGAAGAAAAGGAAAACCATAGTTAAAGCAATAAGCGAAGGAAATGACAGAAACAGAGAGGTCTTAACAAGGTTTGACCTGATCTGCCATCTGCCTGTGTAACAGAGGGAAGGAGCCGGTCCGTAGAGACAGGTGGATGCAGCTATGGGTCAATGACGGGACATTCAGCTGCTGATACGGGAGCACTTTTTGGGCAGAGGACCAACCTGTGTGTGTGTGTGTTTGGATGCTCCCCTGGCTGCAGTCAGGTCAGGGGGAGCAGGTGCTGGGTAACACGTGGCTGATCACAGCCTTGGTTAGACCTGAAAGTAAACCCAGAGGCTCCTGGAGGGATGGGGGTAATCCCCGAGCTGCTGTGACACGCTGAACGGGCTGCATGCTGCTCAGTCAAATGCAAACCTGACAGCGGAGTCACAACACAGAGCGGCAGGGAGGGGAGGGCGACAGAGCCAAAGGTCAAATGAAGCAGTGATGCCCTGGTGACTACTGTGGTAAACAGGGACAATCCAGCTGTTTGTGTGGCAGTTACTGATTTTACTCAGCTTATGGCTAAAAACATGGAAAAAGGCCATTTTTATAACATGTTAGGGGTGTAAATAATCGTTTGGTATTGATGCATCGATCCAACAGCCAATGACCCGATGCATCGACATGTCAGCAAGAGTATCGGGTCATGTTTTTTTTCCCTCTGGTCTATTTTTATCCATTCGCTCCTGGATGTTATTCTGACTCCCCTGCTGCGGTGGCGCTAAACCTATTTTGCCCTCCTACCTCGCTTCCTTTAGCCACTACCCTCTTTCTGCTTGCAGTATTTTTTGATGCAAGGCCTTTCAGTACGATAACACAGAGGCATTATTATTTTTCAGTTAATGAGGTTTTCATAGGCCTAGGTGGAGTACAGCGTTGCTATTTCTGTTATTTGCCGTTGTTTCTCAAATAAAATGCATAACGACAGTACAGCTGTTGATTTATTTGAAATTTGTAATATTCTCTATCCTGTAAGGTAAAACAAAAAACTAACCAATTAATCGAATCATATCATGGTGTATTCTTGAGAATCGAATCGTTGGGTAAGGGAATCGATACTGAATCGAATCCCCATGATGGGTGTGAATTACACCCCTATAATATGTCTAATCTGATTATCAGCCCTTTCCTGGGGTCAGCTACTCGTCCTTTTTAACACCACTTTTATGTTGTCACATTTGTGGTGCAGCTTTGTTTAGGGAAGTGAAGAGATAATTTACTTGTTAAACTGTCCATAGAAAAGATGATCAACACAAACTTATCCATACTTAACTGACAATGTGCAACTTTTAATTATAATGCGTTTTTATATATATATATATATATATATATATATATATATATATATATATATATTCTTACAGTAAAAAGGTGAGAGGCAGGGACATCCTAAACACTGCATATCAAAGGTAAATAATAATAATAATAATAATAATAATAATAATAAAAAAGGCATCTAATCAGTATAAAAAGCCAAACAAAAAAATCAGCAAATAAGCTTCTTAACCCACCCATGTGAGGTTTGATGGAGCTATAGATAGAAATCCGTATGTATTAACTGGAAGTTATGAAATATCTGCGTAATCTATAAACACAGACGTTCGCTATAAATATAAGAACTTAAATTTAATTGAATTAAAGGGGGACAAAAGCATTCACACCATTTGAACTTTATTGAAGAAACTACGCAAAGTGGGAAGTAACTCGGTACATTTCCTCTGTCATATTTACTTGAGGAACTTTTTTTTTTTTTTTTTACAAGAATCTACTTTTATGAATAGATTCATACTTTTTTCCCCCTTTTACTTGAGTAAGCCATCCATCCATTTTCTCTCTCTTAGTACTTGTCAGAATGCTGGTGCCTATCTCTGGCAGTCTATGGGCGAGAGGCGGTTACACCCTGAACAGGTCACCAGTCTGTCGTTGGGCAACAAATAGACACACAAAGGCAAACAATCATTTATGCACACACTCATTTAGAGAAGCCAATTAACTTAATAGACATATTTTTGGACTGTGGAGGAACCCGGAGTACCCGGAGAGAACCCACGCATGTACAGGGAGACATGCAAACTCCATGCAAAAAGACCCCGGGCCTTCACCCTAACCCGCAAGGAGGATGTGAAAGGACTGATCCAGCCGCACCAGTCCCTCCTAAGCTGATTCCTGCAGTTGGTGAGCCTTTTGAGTGTGTCCTGGTGGGTCGTCTGCCTTGAACTAAAGCTGGTAGTCAATTTCTCTAGACTGTCATGTGTGTTACCACTCATTTCCCTGAAGCCATTTCACTAAGAAAAGTTACATCGCCAACCATAACTAAAGCTTTTCTGAAGTTTTTTGCAACTTTTGGTCTGCCTAGACTTTTACAAACTGACCAAGGCAGCAATTTTCAGTCCAAACACTACAGTCTTTTGGCATTAAACACATTCTCTACAGTCCTTAACATCCCCAGTTACAAGGCGCTCTAGAAAGATAGCAGAAAGATAGGTGATAAAGTGCTCATGCTGGTGCCCACACCTGGCCCATCCCTCTCAGCCCAATCTGCAGGCCCATATGTGGTAAAAAGGCGAGTCAATGACACAGACTACTTTATTCATACTCCTGATAGGAGTCGCCTAACATGTCTGCGCCAAATAAATATGTTGAAGCCGTTTCATTTCAGGGAAAATGACCAAAAGGACACATGTTGTGAGGACTCTCCAAACCCTGTGTCAATCTCTTGTGTCTGGAGATAACCCCCATGATGTTTTGAAAAAGTGTGATGGACACTGTGGTAGGCTCTCAAACTCTGTCATACTTAATTTCTTGGCTGAGTATCTGTCCTATCTTCCCAGGGGTGAGAAGCAGGATGAGAAAGGACTGATCCATCTGCACCCTGTGCTTTTTGGGGATGTGCCCTCTAGGACCTTGGTACTGGAGCAGGACATTGACGTGGGTGATGCCCATTAAACAACATCCGTACAGTTGTCCCCCAGTCTAGAGGGAAATGATGAAGAAAGAGGTTCAATATTTACCACAAAATGGGATGGCTATACAAAGTCATAGCTCCTGGAGCTCTCCATGTCTTCTGATACCAAAGTCTGATGGTTCCCAATGTTTTTTTGTACAGACTATCAAAAAGTGAATGCAGTTAGTCCCTGATTCGCACCCATTGCCTCGCATGGAAGACTCCATAGACAGCATTGGTCATGCCACCTATATTACCAAATTAGATCTGCTAAAGGGGTAGTGGCAAGTTCCCCTAACTGCCAGGGCTTCTGATATTTCAGCTTTTGTCACACAAGACTACTTGCTACAATATACAGTGATGGCATTTGGAATGCAAAACGCACCAGCTACCTTTCAGCAACTGATGAACACTGTATTAAGAGATGTTAAGAACAGTAATGTCTATTTGGATGACATCGTAATTTATTCATCATCCTGGAAAGATCATATTAACACTTTGAAGACTGTGTTTGCCTGTCAAGCTCAAGCCTCTCTCACCTTGAATCTGGCAAAATGTGAGTTTGCCAAAGCGGTGGTGACCTACCTGGGAAAGGAAGTAGGCCATGGCCAGGTACGTCCGGTGAATGTAACACTTGAGTAATATCTTGATAAATTACTACTGTTCCTAGAGTAAAATTTTTGGGTGCTCCATTGATCATGAGTAACTTCACTGAAAAATCAACAAGCTTGTTTTTTTCCTAAGTGCTCTAGACAAAGCCCTATAGTTAATGTTTATACCAAAATAAGTGCTCCCTTTTTCAACACATGCTTTTACAGCTTTTATGTTGAAAAGAAAATTGGTTTTGGAAAAGTCGTTCTTCTACCTTGAATTATTATTGCATAATAAGATCATTTTTTGTTTAAAATATTATATAATAGTCTCTAATATACCAGAATTTACAGGCAACTTTAAATTTTGGTCTCTTTATTTAACTATGTTAAATATCAGATGTTATAAGTTACCCAGTACTTGAGTAGATTTTTTCCAATTAATTTTTCACTCTTACTCGAGTATAATTTCTGGGTACTCTATCCACCTCTTCAGATATTTAGAAGAAGGAAATCCTATCAGATAAACTTTTTGGTTTACATGTAAGACGATATGGGCTGTGCACCACTGCTGTGAAACATGGTGTAGGCAGTATAATGCGGTGGGAAAGTTTTTCTTTAGAAAAGTGAAGGGTATCTGTTCGGTAATGGGACAGTAGAAGATGTTAAGCAAAGGGTGATCATGGAAAATCCATCAGAGGATGCAGAAAACTCCAGCGGGACGACCACCCTAAACGTACAGGAGGGCTAATATGAGATTTTTAAGTTTCTAACTTAATTTATCCAATCAATACCCGATTAACTGATCTCCTGTAGGTGTCCTTTAAAAGAATAATCCACTGCCACTTAAGACGCTCTCTGTACGCTCCCAGCTTGACCTCAGCTCTGCTGGCTGGCGTCTAATTAAAACGGCACGTTATGTGAATTCTCTGGAGATTCGGCCGCCCAGATCAATAGGACTTTCATGAGGAATTCTATTACCTGCACCACTTAGCGCCTAATATTTCACCTCTTCTGTCCAGTCATATAATAAGTCACTCCATGCACATTTTCTGCAAGCTCACACTGCAAACAATCAATTCTTTGATGTAATTAATTAGAATGCGAGCAGGAAGAGACCTTGTTCTGACACACAAACAGGGGATAGGGTGTCTCAAGTCGTTTTCTAATCAAGCGGCGGACGGTGTTCTGGGTGTACTTGCGTCTCAATTGCTGACGCTGTCGCTCACAGAGAAAGGAACACTGCAGAGCCGCTCACTTTACATTCAGCAGACTGACCAATGAGCTGCTCTGGGATTGATGGATCTATATTGCTAGGCTGTCAGACTTATCTACCAGATGATTAATTCAACAAGCTTAAAACAACCCTGGATAAAACAGAAGCACAGAAGCTGTCACCACATATACATTACACAGGGCATTTTCCTAAAAAGACA